CCCTGATTAAGAAAATTTTGTAAGTAAGATCAAAGGAATTCCAGCTAGTCCAAACAACGTAGATGCGTAGTGAGCGCTTCCTGCTCAGTCTACATGTAGTTAGAACATAAAGAGGCCATACAATTTCCCCCCATACTTTAGCTGTATGTCAACTCATTTGCATAAACCACAGTGGGTCTACAGGAGTTAGGAAATTGGCAGCATGGAATGCAATTGGGGGCTTTTACACTCTTTGTGTGCTGCTGTTTCTTTACCAGAATGGAGTGTTTTCAGGCTAGAATCGGCAGAAACTGCTCTAGTATATACGCGGTCTGAAAACTAGCGAAAGCTGCTTCCCGACGCGTAGGCTGGAACAGTATTCGGTGACTTTCAGCTTTCTTGCTACTGGAACAGGCTGCATTCGAGAGTTGGGCGTCATTGGTGGTTTAATTACCCCGGTCTGCTCCTACTGCTAAGTGAGAGTTTACTGTGCCATAGCGCAGTGGTTGGAGGTTTGCCTTGTGTTGTGTTGTGTTGTAGATTCGAACCCCTACCAGCTGAGTTGCCCTGGTAGCTCAGTTGGTAGAGCGCTCGCCTAGACTGCAGAGTATCGTGGGTTCGAATCCCACCTAGGGCAGCTCTTTATTTTTCCTTGGAAAATAAGAGCTGTCCAAAAAAGAGCTGTCCTAGGTATAGTTGATTTGTTTGTTGTGCTTTTGCCTTTCTACCTCATAGTTTTCACATGCATATACTTGGCTTGGAGTTGGGCATCATTGGTGGTTTAAATACCCCGGTCTGTTCCTACATGCTAAGTGAGAGTTTACTGTGCCATAGCACAGTGGTTGGAGGTTTGCCTTGTGTTGTGTTGTGTTGTAGATTCGAACCCCTACCAGCTGAGTTGCCCTGGTAGCTCAGTTGGTAGAGCGCTCGCCTAGACTGCAGAGTGTCGGGGTTCGAATCCCACCTAGGGCAGCTCCTTATTTCTCCTTGGAAAAAAAGAGCTGTCCTAGGTATAGTTGATTTGTTTGTTGTGCCTTTGCCTTTCTACCTCATAGTTTTCACATGTAGCAATGCCTAAGGTGACACTAGCGTTTGCTTGCACAAGTGATAACTTAGTGATAACTTAGGGGGTGCAAACACACTACCATAATTATACTCTGGTGCAGAAACAGCCCACCTATTTCTAAGAAATGAGTTGCTGTTTCCAGATTGTTAGCCCTCATTTGCAGAGCATACCACACTGTCTAGCCATCATCAGAGTTATCAGCCTGCAACACTTGTGGTTCTGAACTAATAAATGAGATTCTTCCCCATACAAGGCTTTTACCACTGGCATGTGTGGTTTACCTATGTGTTGCAACAGTGACGACAGACTATCACCAAATACTTTGACAAAACCAGCGGCTGAATATAACGTATTTTGAATTAACATTCCATTCCGAATTATCCATATTAGATGCTGACATGACCACTAGAGGAATGCAACTTTGCGAGCGAAGCTAGCAGTTTAAAATTCCACGCGTTTTTTGAGCGTATTTAGAATCACGTAAACATTGCAGTATGTGCCAGTTCACTGTAAGGGAGGGATAAGAGTATCAGTATGGAACAATCCCGCATTCAGACGACTATGTAGGTGGGCTCGCTTCCCTTGCCAATTATAATATGAATTTGTCGTAGGCAACAAATCTCAGATTCACAATACTTGGGAAAGATGAATTACAGTGGATCAATCCAGTACTTGGAGCATGTTGTTGTCCGAATATCTGTTGAGGCGTTAGGGCATTTCGAAAGAGGAGATATACATATTGAACTCATATCACCATCTGGAACATCATCAGTTCTCCTTAAGCAACGGCTATTGGATCGTGCCGCAAGAAATGGCGGTGAAACAGCATATGTAGACTGGCCTTTTATGTCAGTTATGTTCTGGGGAGAAGATCCTGCTGGACAGTGGACCCTCAACATAACTAATATATACTATTTCCTTGATGGTGTTGTCAATGTTAGTAAGGTGGAGTTTGAGTTCTACGGAGTGTCCCAAGTGCCAGAGGCAGTGGCAAACATTCCTGACCAGTGTCACTCTGACTGCAGAAGAGGGTGTGCTAGAGAGGGCTCCAACTTCTGTGACTCATGTGTCAACCTCCGCAATGCCTACACTCTGGAGTGTATCAATGAGTGTCCTCCAGGCTACACCCAGCGTAATGGCTACTGCTATGATGCAAGTTTACCAGTCAAGGAATGCAACTCTCCCCTCAAGAGCAAAGAGGGTACAGGGTTCACTCCAGAATATGAGGAAAGTACCACCTGTGCTGCGTCAGGATACACTGAATGCTGTAGACCTGGAGAGGATGATAAAAGAGATTGTTCCCAATTTCACCCTCGCAATTGTTTTTGTGATGATGTATGCTTCCAATTTGGGGACTGCTGCAAGGACGCTGCTGCTATTGGCTGTGAACTAGAAGGTATATAATTATATATACAAGTGGAAAAATCATTTCTTCAAAATGAAAGGGGGATATAGGGATGGCTTGAAGCACCAAAAAGGAACAAACAAGGGGTCATTACACAGCAAAGTTGCACAAAGCTACATGACACCATCCCTATATCCTTGTTTTATTGTTTATAAGCAAACTTTCCCTTGAGCTAAATATACATGCAAGACAACCTCTATTGCAGAGCCGTATAACAACAAAGATATAGGGATGGTGTCATGTAGCTTTGTGCAACTTTGCTGTGTAATGACCCCATGTTTGTTCCTTTTTGGTGCTTCAAGCCATCCCTATATCCCCCTTTCATTTTGAAGAAATTATTTTTCCACTTGTTTCCACTATCAGCTTATGACAACACTGTATTTATTGTTACAGTACTCTGATGCTCATGGGTATGTTGTAGATAGGCTACATACCATAGTAACTGTTGAAAGTAGTAGATAATGGACTGGCAGTGCCTGAAGCGGGGGCTATATACCACATTCACCTCATGTATTGTCTTCAACAAGGATGTATATACAGTGGGGTCCCGGTTAATATCATACCCGCGGTGCATCCAAAAAATATGACAATATGCGGGATATTATATAATGCGGGCGCGTATACTGTGTATACTCCGGGTGTTTATACTGTGTATATTTGTGAACTAGATAGCGCACAATGCAGTTTGTTTAGCTAAGCTAATGAAGCTAGGCTAGCCTAGCTGTTTACATAAGCTAAATGAAGCCAGGAGAGTTGCAAAACTCCAGCCCAAGGTTGTAGAATGCCTAATTACGCATGCACAATAATGACAATATGCGGGCAAAAACCAAAATTGCTCAATTTTTCTATGATAATAGGCGGGATATGATATTATCCGTATTGTATGTATTCTATAAAACGGAGTAAAATGTATGGGAAAGCATAGGAAATGGTTTTGGATTTCAGGTTTGTATGATTATAAACGGGATATTCTATTAAATGGTATGATATTAAGGAAGAAGAAGAAGAAGAAGAAGAAGAAGATGAAGAATATGACGACACGAAAATCGTGAAATCGCGTATGAGCGAATTCTCGCGTGGACGACTGAAGGTGCGTATGAAGTCTTTGGGAACATGTATAGGTAGATATGGGCCCGTAGACTATTGCTAGTATGTTTTGAAGGCCAAGGGAGTGATTCTCACTGAGTTTTTAGTCGTTTTGTACGCGGATCACGTGAGATTTCACCCGTGTCATCCCTATATAGAGAGTCTACTGACTCTCTAATACTTAATATTAGTTCTCACGCTCTCTTCTATATATGTTATCCAACTCTTTCAGATCCCAAAGTATTCTTCCTTTACATTGATCTTGGAGTGACACCTGGAGTTGAAACACATCCTGCTGTAGAACCTGTAGAAATCCTCTTTCCTTTTTTATTTTCGATTTACTCCAATATCACTGTAAGTTTCATTTGAATAGTGTAGCACTTTTTCACTCTTCCGCTTTACAGGTGACATTGACTGGCAGGTTCAGTTTTACGGAACCACCAGAAGATTTTGTTGGGATATCAGTTTTCGAAGGCGATTACTTCAGCGGTTCTGTTTCGTATGAGGTTCACCAAGGACCCCGATCTAAAAGTATTTTCTCTGTTGTAAATGCAGTGATCAACGCAGAGTACGAAACTGACTTTGATGGCAGTTGGCTGCTTGTTGCCACTTGGGAAAATATGACACAAAGTTACGGA